ATGACCTACATTACTTTAACAGCAAGATATTTAATGTTTTGTTTTATAAGAAATAATAATCAAATATAAAAGAAACCTGTGCATATGCATCCCTAAAATCCCTCTTTTCCCCCCAGCATAAAGCCCTTTCTAGAAAGTCATTCTAAATTAATGAAAAGCCCCAGGCTTGGGTTCATGATGGCAACCGTGTGCTCAAATAGTTCCATGTGCCCAGTGGATAAAAACAGAGGAATCCTAGACAGATTGTGAATGTTTTCCACCTATGATAACATCTCTCATAAAGCACTGAGTGCAGAAATTAAAACTTTAAAAAATAGTGCAGAGAATGTGTTCATCATAAATGTAAGAGACTTTCCATTATAAAAAAAAAAACAAAAACAGCTGGGCTCGGTGGCTCAGCCTGTAATCCCGCGCCTTTGGGAGACTGAGTTAAGTGGATTGCCTGAGCCCGCGGGTTTGAGACCCGCCTGGGCAGGCAAGACCTCATCTCTACAATAAAATCAAAAATTAGCCAGGCATGGTAGCGCGCACCTGTAATTCCGGCTACTTGGAAGGCTGAGGCGGAAGGATCACCAGAGCCCAGCAGGTCAAAGCTGCAGTGGCTAGGAGCGGCCACTACACTCCAGTCTGGGCGACAGTGAGACTCCAACTCAAAAAAACCCCCATGTCTTCTATTCATCTTGATCACATTACTCCATTAAGCCTTTAGTAAAATGAGTTGCAAGTCACCTATTTTCTTTCTGAAAAGAAATACATCTTGCATTCTATCATTCTTCGAATTCAAAAGAGAAAAGTTGAGACTTCTCTAATCTCAGCATTAGTTTATAAAATGCAGCATCAGGGAAACAAATTTTATAGCAATTCATTACATTCATCAGCTCAATAAACACATAGTCATTCTTAATTTTGGCTTCTTCTCTATTAGTAAAAGTCAGACTTCAAGCCCAAGTTGTAATTGGTGTCTGTCTAGACTTAACATCCCCAATGAGAGCAGTAAGAATCTATTATAGTGTTGTCCAACAAAGACAAATGGATCTTGCTGAATGCTTCCATATCTTTGCTGCAGGTATACCCCCAAATGAAGTTAAAATTACATAAGAAATTGAATTGTCATTTGACCTTCTGTTGCTGCATTTTGAGAGCCAATTGCAAAATCCACATTTTATGCATTTACCCTCAGAATCTGTGTTTAACTGGTCTCAAATATAAAGTTCCTTACAAATCTAATCACCATCCATTAGTATCTGTTTCAGTTTACTATTACATCACAAAAAGCCTAAAACTATAATAATTCTTATCTTAGGATTGATGCATTCTATCATTTGTCTCTCTACTGGGTTACCACAATGACTAACTATGTCAGCCCCAAACCAATGACCCATGATCATTTTAATCAATGGTTACTCTTGACAAAATCTTTTTAATTAATGTCTTTTCTATGCCCCCATCCCATGATTTAAGTGCATGTAGCTTCCATTTAAGAGTCTCTGTTCAGAATAATGCCATTCACTGCTTTTGCTTTCCTTGGTGATCATTGTATGTTTTAATGTATACATGCTATTAAACAGACTAGATTCTGTTTCAGTGTTAAGGACAGACGTATATCTACAGATTTTCCCTTAAATGTTCTCAATGTTGTTCAAACCATGTCTTTGACAGGCACAGTCCTTTCACTGTGGTCAACATCTAGTGAAAGAGACCTACAGCCCTGGCACTGAGTTCTATCATCCCATCTAAGCCAAAACAAGAAGAGAGCTCGTGGCCGTGAAACTCAGTGTTACAAGGAGGCTTTTCCCAAAGGGGTTTCAAGTCCAGTTAATAGCTATCACCTGATTATGTAGCTGGATATGTCTCCCACTTCTTTCCCAAATAGGGCAATGTTTTAAATCAATTCTCCAGATGTTTGTCATTTTGCCGTCAAGTCTTGCTCCCAGCTGTCCTAAGTGACTTCTTTTTAAAAAACAACTTAAAAACAGACACCTACATGAGAATATGGAACTGATTGTCATTGTTTCTAGGACCCTGTTTTTCAAAAGTCATATTAGGTTGTGCATGGTGAGTCCAATGTGGGAAGAAGAGGATGCATTTTGTAAACTTGGGTCATAGTGGTTAGGATTTCTGACTCAGCTAATATACTTAAGCCTACATTTTGATCTCTGCTAAATCATCTACCAATTTATCTCACAGATTGCTCCAGGCACATCTGACATACTTTAATATCAAAATGTAAATTAGACACCCCCACAAACCACCTCCACTCTCTCACGTTGCCCTAAATTTGGACTTTACTTTCCTCGTTATACTTGAGCTGCTCTTTTTGATCACGTGGCATTTCCCCAAAAAAATGTTGCCTCAGGGGATGAAGAAGACAGAGCATTGTAAAGTTGCCCAGGCTCACGACAGTGCCGAGCTCCATTGGCTGTACCAATCTCTTTTAAAGGCTAGAAGACCTGAAAAGGCAGAGCCTACCCCAGGAAGCAGTTGACACTTTGGGATCCCCTCTGCCCAGCCTGAGCTCAGGAGTTTCTGCAGTGGGCACTAAGCCCCCATAGCTAAACAGGTACTATTTGACCACCCAACACAAACAAATCCTGAGGTTAAGAGACGAGTCTGAGAAAATCCGGTGCTCTGGCCCTCTTTGGTAACAAGGCACACCAGCAAGTAAAGGATCATCTGAAATCCATTCCTGTATGAGAGGTATTAAAACTAGAAGCCACATTTAATTCATCCAACTCAAGAAAACCCTGGGGTATGGGGGGGTGGCGGTAAAGGGAAACCCAGTTCTCTACCTAGAAAGGAGCTTCTGTTCCACTTTATTAAATGTTTTAAGCAGATTTAAGTTTTAGGACAAATTCCTACTCTCCAAGGAACACACGCCCAAGAACTAGGAGATCAGCCAGAAGCAGTGGCCACATCCATGGTCAGAGGGAAGAAACCTCATGTGATGAGAAGGGGGGGTGAGTGCATGAAGGAGGAAGGGGGGAATTCGGAGGGGCTTGTAAAGGGGAGGCAAATGAGTGAGATCTGTATCTTGTGGGCTTTTATCCACATTAGGGAGACCAAGGAGAGAGGTCTGGTCTACTAGCCTGGAAATGTGTCTGAGAAGTGTCAGGCTGGGACAATAACTGCAGAGCAGCCCTAAATACTCTTTGCACAAGGCTGTGACCCTTATTGTGGGTGAGCCCGGGGATACATGCTCTGTCCCAGGAGATCTACGTAGTCAAATAAACCTGGCCGAGCCGAACACCCTGGAAAGCCATGAGTACCTCTCTGGACGAAGCCCCAACAAGAAACGGGGTGACTGAGCCAGAATCCCAGGGTAGCTAACTTGATCCAAGAGAGGCAGCTCCCCAGTGCTATGCTGGTTTCTAAATCCTTCTACAGGAAACTACAAAATTATAGTAAAGAATAACCACTCCACAAGGCCATTGTTGCAAGCAAGGTGAATGAACACAAGCATAGGAATTCTAAAATCTCTGTAGAGTTCAGCAGAAAGCCCCTAACCCAAGTGTGTGGTAAGTAGAGACCTTGTCCTCATGGCGTCATCTCTATTTCTGAGTCCCAATTCTTTTTCCTCACCTCTTACCCTCCTCCTGCCCTCCCAACCCCCAGTTCCCAACTATTCAGAAAATTCCATACACATTTGGACAGTGAGATCCACTTGGTGGTTGACCACCCACCACTGCAGCCCAATCTTGGCTCTGCTGTTCAGATGACCTTGAATCAGTTAGTTCATGTCTCTGTACCTGTTTCTTCATCTGTCAGTTATGAATAATAATGCCACCTACTGCACAGAATTGTTGGGAGACTCAAAGAAGGTGACAGGAGTAGAGAACACCAGACACCATGTTGGTACTTAGACCATCAGGCAAATGTTGGCAGATGTTGTAATTACCATTGGTGGTATTGTCAGGAGACATCCCCTCATCTATCCTATAGTTACCCTCTTCCTACCTCAAGCTTTTGGCTCTGTCCCAGATCTCATTCCTAAATTTTATAGTGCTTTGCCCTTGTTCCTGTCATGTTTATATCAAAATTCACAGACAAAAGCAATGAGAAGGCATTTTATTTCTGAAGTTGTTAATTTTACTCTAGACTTCCAAAAAAAGGATCACCCATCTGTCAAAAAAAATACAAAGAAGATAAAAGATTTTTAAAAGTAATTATTTAAGTGCCAACTGAGAGGAAATGAATATGCACTTGGTTCGTTTATTGAGTCGAATTAGAGGATGGTGTTGAACAATCGTAAATCTGCTTCACAGAAGAGAAAGAGAGATATGATGATCCTTTTAAAAATAAACAAACTATCAGCTTGCCCCAACAAAACACATTCTGTATAGACAAATTCAGAGAAATGACTTTCTATTTGAAACTGTGGCTCCTCCTCTCCTACCAAAGCCACCTCCTGTTTTAAAGCCACATATCTAGACATGGGAATTTTTCCAGGTTCATACTATTGTTTGTATTGCTTTCAATGCTCTGATGAACTGCAGGTGTAGTTTGCACAGACAATGCTTCTACAAGTCTGGGCCATGAAATGCCGCGCAACATAGAATCCTTTCCCCACCATCTCCACATCTTTCCCAAGGCTTGCTCTCACTAAATGATCACACCCTAAAAGGTTTCACTAAGGGAATCATGCAAAGACACACACGCTTGACAGAGGTAGCACAAACCTTCATGAATAAAACAGTTGGCTTTTTCTTCTAGGGTCTACAACCCAAAGTACTTTTCAACGTCCCAATCCAATCAGAAACAAACAGCAAAGCTCTTTCCCTTTCTAAGGTTAATTTCAAAAGTTGCAAATTCCACCAATTTCTGCACTTGATGCTCAAAGCAGTACCATCAACAGCAACAGTCCTCCGAGCAAATAATTGCAGCATTAATTTGTTCTCCAGCGCCTCTGCTAAACCCTTCACATTTTTTTTATTCTAACCGTGCAACAGAGGTCCTTTCTCCTCGCTCCCAAGTTTCCCTGAGTAGGTTGAAGCATCACTCACCTCGCTCATGTTGGCTCAAACTCGACAGCTCGGTCCGGCGACTCAGCACAGAGATCAATGCTCAGGGGTCGATGCTCCACCGGTCCTGGCTTTTCTCTTAAAAAGAGCTGCCGGGTAGCATCATGCCTCCCGTGAGCCAATGAGATGCATTCACCTGTCTGAACGCCTGGCATACATCTGAGAGCACCAGGGGCCACCTAGTGGTGCAGAGAAGAACGGCACTCTAGGTCACTGCTCCAAATTCCACCAGGGAGAGAAGAAATGCTAGATTTAAAATAATAATAATAATAAAGTAAGGCACTCCAGCCTGGGCAACAGAGCAAGACCCTGTCTTAAAAATAAATGTAAAGAAGGAAAAGGCAGAGGCACAAAGATCATCACAGGAATGCCATTGTGTGTTTTCTCAAGTGGTATAGGATTTACAATCGGAAGGAGGTTTGCTTTTCTAAGGAAGAGGGGTTCTGAAAACAGGAGCTGTATTTTCCTTGCCCTTTGTGACACAAACCTCAGCCTTAAGACTTTAATATTTCCACTCCCTCTCCCCCATCTTGAATCTGTGAGCCTGTCTGTGCCCTGAGCTGGAAGGACATAAGCAGACAGACCTGGGCATGGATTTGAGTTCTCATGATTTCTACAAGCAAAGAAAGTAACCGTCAGCTTTATTGGTGTGTGCTTTTCACAGTTACAGCAGCACTGAAAAGGAGTCTCAGCTTCAACCCTGAATGTCTCCTTGCCTCAGCCCTGCTCAGGCTTTCTGGGAAGAGGCTCAGTCCTTTCTCAGTCCTGAGCTCGTGAGACTCTGAAGAGCCTTCAGGGCATCAGAGTGGACTCTCTAGCTTCCCATGGGAGATATTGTACAGACTCAAGGAGCATTCGCATCCTATTACCTAGTCCTGGCATGTGACTTGACAAGCTTGGCAAGAAGGTTCAAGTGTCCCCTGACACCCTCACTGGGGCCTCTCTTCTCCCTGGATAGAGCGGGCCACCTGACCCCAGCCATCCAATCCTCTCTGCTCCCCAACTCAACATCTACTGTGCCCTCCTCCCCTGGACCACACTCCTTCCAAGCCCAGTCCTGGCATTGCAGCCACCTTTTTAGTCCAACTCGGACAGTGAGTGAAAGGCCACACACTCCAAACAAGCACCAGTGATTGCAGGCTGTCCACAGAGGCACAGGCCAGGAGCCCTTGTCAGAGAGAGTGTGAACTCGAGGCAGCAAGACTGAGTGTCTCCAGTGGCTTCCTGTGGGGAGCAATCTTCTCAACTTACAGCTATGTCACATGGGATCGCGGCTACAGATGAGCCCCTTCCAACGGGAAGTTTGGTACATGAGTTATTATAATATAACTCATAGTTCACAGAGCAACACAAATGAACATTATGTGTATTATGTATGTAAATATAAACATTGTGTGTAAATAAGCTATATATTTATATAGCCTGACCACACATATCATTTGCAAACTAATAAAGGCAGCATCCTCGGTATCATCCTACTCCCCATCTCCTCTCTGCCCTGTGTCACAGTTGTGAAGGTCCAGGCAGGACACCTTTAGGACATCCCGGGTGATTAGAAGTGGGAGATGATGAGGAAAAGGAGGGCCGAGGTCAGGAACAAGAACCACAGCGTCATCTGAGATGTACTATGGGCCAGAGGAAGGGGAACTTGCTTGTCCACAGTAGGAGAAACCTGTGATTTCTCAGGAGCAGGACCACACCCTCCTTAGAGACACCAGTCTTGTTGGGGATTGGAGCAACCAGTGCCTTGAGGTATATGATGGAATCTCCAAGGGGTAACTTCCACAGGGTCCCAGATGTGGTTTTGCAGGCTGTGCAGAGGAGACAAGCTAAGAAGACATAGAGAAGCAGCCTATGCTCTGTTGACTGGCCCTGGAACAGACCTGAATTTTCTATTAACATAAAGAAACATAACAGGTCTGCAGCAACCTGGGGTTGGGAAACTGCAACAGTGCTGGGGGTCCCAGGGGCGAGGCCAAGATTGGAGGTGCTGGGCTGGGCTGAAGCTTTGCTGAGTAGAGTGTGCAATTATTTGGAACTAACTAGAGGGTTCTAAAAGCTATGGGGGAGAGATAGTCATGCCCTGGGTTTCTTACATTCCCCACAAAATTCATATGCTGAAGTATTAACCCTCAATACCTCAAAATGTGACCTCATTTGGAGATAGGGTTTTTAAAGAGGTCCTTAAGTTAAAACGAGGTCACTAAGGTGGACCCTGATCTAATGTGAGTGGTGTCCTTATAAAAAGAGGAGATGAGGACACAGACACACAGAGGGATGATGCTGTGAGGACACAGGAAGAAGACAGCATCTACATGCCAAGGAAAGAGGCTTCAGAGAACCAGCCCTGACACACCTTGACCTCACACTTCTAGCCTCTGGGACTGTGAGAGAATAAATGTCTGTTGTTGAAGCCACTCATTCTTGGTACTTTGTTATGGCAACCACAGGAAACTAATACAAATGACACTGCAAGTTCTTGGAGATGTATTTCAGAGAGAGACTTAAAGCGCCTTAGGGGGAATTTCCTCAATGTTTGCCTTATAGCACACAATTGAACCCTATTTATTTCCCCCAGATATCTACAGTAAAATAACAATCTCCCATTACTGAGTTATGAAGTTGTCTTGTTTTAGAAGACACAAAATAGATATTTAGTATGACCACAAAGGGAGCACCAAGTTGACCTGGGAGACTGGCGTTCATGGGTGACACAGAACAAGTCTGAGTGAGCACCCCACCCAATCCCACATGTGGTGACTGCAAAGCTGTGTGTGCAGCACTCTGGCCTGAATAAACCTTTCATCATCTCCTGACAGGTGGGTCCTCGGACCACAGTTCTCAGCCCCATCGATTCTCTTGGGGCAGTCGTGCCCCCCAACAAGACCAGCCACCAGACCAAGAATTGCAAAGACCACCTGGACCTCTTCCCAGGATACCCAATAAATGTGTGGCCTTTAAACCTTTCGGTATCATTCTAATAAGCAGTCAAGTTTGAGAATCCCTACTTGACGCAGTCACACTCTCTCCCCTTCTACTACTTCCTTTTAGGGTCTGCTTGGCTATTGTTTACATATATAATACACTTAAATATTTTTTAAGATATAAAGCATATATATATCTTATCTAAACAGCTCCAACATGCCCCATTACACAAGTCTCCTCAGATAAGCCTATAACTCTATTGCATGGTAGATGGAATCATGAACCAGAAGCTTGAACTTGCATTCTTCATGTGAGGAAGAGTTTTCTGTATGACCTTGGCAAATTCTCTCCATTTCCTAGTGTCTTATTTCCTCCATTGGTAAAATAGAAATATTAAAGCATTGCATCTGCCAACCTAAGCAAAAATATATACACTAAATATATTGAGCTGGGAAATAAATTTTGAAGGAACTTCAGGAGAATTAGATCTACAGCTTCATATATTAGATCTTAGGGAATACTTCAGCCCTGCTGAATTGAAAGACAGATATGTGGCTCTATAATTTATGGAAATATATATGGATATAAATATATATGGAGATATATATAATCTGTATAAATAATATGGACAGACTATTTTCTTCTTGGAAGCTTGATCCTGCCTGAAGGTGCAGAGTTGGGCCAGGCAACCTTTGAGATTATTTATAGGGACACTATACATGGATGAACCTTGGGCTTTTCATCAGTTCTTACACCAAATGTGTCATTTGTGTATGATTTCAGGGTTGTGGGATTTTTAAAAAGAATCTTCTTCCTGCTTCATTTCTTCACCTTTGTAGCTATGCCTCCTCAGGCTTCATGGCCCCTGGTGCTCATCACGTGTTGTCATAATTCCACAAGGACGGAGAATGTGGTCATCCTTCCTTGAAGAGAGAGGGCACAGCCCAGCCTCAGTGACCAGCTTCCTCCCTATTTTCTGCCTCTACTATTCTCCAAACAGATGTCAAGTATAGACTCTGAGTGTCTATTCATCCCCCTCAAGCCTTAACAATCCCCTCTTTAATGAGTGAACCTAGGGGCTCCTGTCTTTGACTGCACCTCCTTGAGCCTGACTCTTTTGCTGCTTTGAACTTGAGTCTTCCCTACAGATTCTAGCCAAATTCTCAAACATGCTGTGTTTGATGTGGCCCCAAGCCAAGAGGTGACCCTGGTTCTAGCTATGTATGTGGACATGCAGCATAATTTCATAACCCTTCCTGGAAGGATTTACTGATTTATTTTCATGATGCATTAATGCATGCACTTGTTTACTCATCTTGTCTCTCCTCTCCTGGACTTTAAGCCCCTTGAGAGAGGGAGAGAGGGAGAGGTCAGGCCACACCACCCCTCATTCCTTCATTGCCCGAACATGGCAGGGTGCTTGACACCAAGCCAGCACCCAAAACTACTTTTGAATAAATAAATATCCTAGTGGTCATTCATTGTGAATATTGCTATAAGAAAAAATAAATCTCCTTTTGTATAAAGTTAGATTTGCTTTCCAATGCCAATAGGTAAGCATTTTCTTTCTCTTTTGAAAATGAGAAAGAAGGGTATTTCAAATATCTTTCTGCTGTCAACTGTTAATCCAGCTTTCTAAAACATTAAAAAAATTTCTGGCATAATGAGCTGTTTCAAACCTAAATAATTAGGTTTCACAGCCTTTTTGAAGAAAAAAATTAATTAACAGAAATATTAGGCTTGGCCTTCCAGGATTTTGGCAGTAGTAATATTGCACAGCTGCCATTCCTGCTCCCATCTCTTCTCCATGCTATTAATCACTCTTAATTGGCCACTCCATATAATAGATGTGTAGGTTTTATAATTTTTAAAGTTATTGAAAACTTGATATATTTGAGCTGTGTGCTCTCTCTCTCTCCTCTCCCCCCACCCCCAGCCCCTTCTCTCTCTTCTCTCTCTCTCTCTCTCTCACCCCCTTCTCCCATTCACATCTATGTCTCCCAAATAACTTGTGTTTTATGCTTGCACCTTCTATCCCAACCTGCTACTGGATGAGGTGGCTCTTTCTTCTAAAAAGCAGCAGCTAACAGAAAAGAAGGGAATGATGGGAGACAGACAGTGACAAGTAAAATCCACCCACCATAGTTCTGTGGTCCTCCATCTTGTCTCATCTCTTAATTCCAAGAGCTACAGTCTTATCTGAAGCCAATGCTATTCTTAAGGTTTATATTATTCCCTGTGTGTGGATGAA